CGCAGAGGAAAAACACCAAAATCCCTGATGTAAACAAAAATCCCCAGCCTGGGATTCCAGTTGTCTTTGATCTGCCCCTTCCTTGCCCTGGAGGAGCTGAACACCAGAATAAAATGGCAGGGGGAAAGCAGATAAATCAGAATTTTGACCTGGGGGTTTACACCACATCGCAGCTGCCCTCTGCACCAAAAGAAATCACAGCAGATTAGCGTGGCCTGAATGTCAAACACCAAACAAGGAACAGACCACCACAAGTGAAGGTTTTGTCCCTGCAAATACCTAATCAGTACCAAAGATCTGCTTTTTCTACTTACCAGTTCTTAAAAGAAAAAAAGAGTGCTGACATTTATCTTGGAGGATAGCCTCCAGCAGCATATGGAAGCATCCCAGGTAACAGGCAAGGAGACCACACAATGCTGGTATATAAGCAAATGCATTCTGTTCCCCAAGGTCAGCGATTTGTTACAAGGGATTTATATCCAAAACATCACAGATTCAAAATAGTGCACTCGGGCTGATATGGAAAATGTCAGCTCACTCCCTCTCTCCCCCCTACTAACAGCTTTGGGGTTTATTTTTACTGATGCACATTTAAACACAGTTCAGATCAAATTAGGGTCAGGGGAGAGACTTTGGTAACTTTTAGATGTAACTTTATATCTGTTACATTTTATATGCAGCCTGTACATGTATGCTCTCCTTGCAATGTTTACAGCCCACGTCAAAGCAGGGCAAGCAAAGCTGAAATAATTCTATCTTTTAAGAAAGCAAAAACCTTTTAGCAATGCGTTTTTTCTGTAAATGCAATTATTCTAATTGCTCCCATCATTAAATACGCCTGAGACCACGTTATTAGATCAGGACCCGTTTGGTGAGGAGAACCATAAAACTCATGTACTTACTTATGCATGTATCCATCTGCACTCCCCGTTAAGTTCATCTGCATGACAGTTTGGAATTCTGTCTCATTGCAGCAGTATTTAAACACTGTGTTGTTATGGTGACAGCAAAAGATGTAGGATTTATTGTCAGAGAGGCGGGGGCAGTGAAACCCAAAGTGGTAGCGACCTTTGTAGTCGGTGTACGGCTCGCAGACCCGAAAATGTGCAGACAACACTGTAAAAAACCAAGAATGACATCGGCTTTGTGAGTCACTTACGTTCTCTGTGTGTCCTCAATAACAGCTTTTCAGGCTTAAACAGTTGGGGTCTGATTTCTGAAAAACATTAATATCTCAGAACTTTCAGCATCACAACATTTAGTACTTTAAGACCACAATATTTAGGCTCCTGCTGTATTTTGAATCTTACTGTTTCTGATTAGCGTTGTTTAAGGGAAGAGGAGAAGTGCCCTCTGTGCTTAGAGGCACAAAAATATTTGGGGAAGCATTTTCATATTGCTGTTCTAAATATAGGGATATCCATAACACACAACGATGCCCGTGTCTGATTCTCCTGGGATGACTTAATAAAAACAAAAGGTCTGCATAGAAACTGCAATAAAAGTTTGCTGGCACTCGGTTTACAGTCACTGTTCCTGACAGACAACATCTCTGTTGTAAAGGTCATTCTTTGATAAGGATTATTCTGTCAGAAACAGTTATTAAAACCAGCATAACAAATCTGAACAACTCTGAATTTGCACATAGACTGAACTAATAATAATAATAATAATAATAATACCTTTAAAATACTGTAATACCTTTAAAATACCTGTAAAGTACTACTAATAATACCTGTACAGGTGTTCCTGGGAGTTCTCACATTTCTCCTTTAATAAGTCTTTGAAAAGTCTTTGAAGAGACAATATTGGGTTCCACATGATGCCAACATTTTAACTCATTCATAATTTGTGTTACTAGGCCTTATATCATCATTTATAGCACATTTACCATACAAACACCCCAAAGGGCTTAAACTCTGAGGAAATGTAGAAGAGCCTGAACACTCTTAGCAGTGAAATGATTTTACCCTGACTAGAGAAGAGAGTCACAGCCATGTGACAGTGCAGTTCATAAAGTCACACCAGTTAGCAAAGGATATTCACTTCAGACTGAAAGAATTTGGTGTATGACTTTTCCATCAGATAATGACCTGCATGGATTTACCTTAGCTGCGCTGTATCCCACAGTCCCTGTTGATCTGTAATTGTATCTTATCTGCCTAAATCTCACTCCTTCCTACCTTGCTTTAAAAAAAGCCTATTCCTAATGCTCTTTTGTTTCTCAAATTTATAAAATATATTAAATTCAAGATACATTTTAAGGGTTGTGACAGTGCAGATGACTTTTTTATGTATAGGAGGGGAAGCCTAGAACAAAAAACTAAACTGAAACAAGGTAACTTGTACTACCCTCTGAGTCAAAAAGCTTCCTCTTAAGCATTAATATTTATATATATGTGTGTGTGTGTGTGTGTGAACAGACCTGGCATCATTCAACAAAAGAAGAAATCCTTTTTTAGATTAATTCAGTCAGGAACTGAAAGTGCTGTTTCTAAAGGAACACAGATGTTGAGAAAGGTAATTACATATTTTGCCCTGCCTGGGAAAAATGTTGTGTTCGTGTCACCAGTACAGAAGTTGGCCTCTGGTCCTGTCACAGAAGTTTAGCTTGCTCTGTATTTTTCTTAATAGCACGTGTGGAAGTGTCTCCTGATCCTTAAATAGTTCCTCTGCCCATTTAAAAAGGAAATCACACTTCTTTGGGAATAAAAACTGAGGGAAGTATGATTACAGACTGAAGGGAGAATTAAGATAACATCAGGTCATAGGAGGAGGGGTGTCTGTAATAAGATGTAGTCCTAAGCACATCCTTAAATAGTAAAATGTGTGTCAGTGATTAAAATAAATGCACAAATAAGAGCATAATGTGATGATTAAATTACATTCTGAACTTGGGAGTCAGTGTGTGGTGGATTAACCCTGGTAGGCAGCTGCTTGTCACTCCCCCTCTCCCAGTGAGAGAATCAGAAAGTGAGAATATTCATGGGTCATTTAACAAATGAGTAAGAAAAAACCCCACAGCAACATCAACAAGTACCTTGTGCACAGTGAAAGAACTTTATCAACTTATTGTAAATATCTCTGTAAGTTCACCTGCTGTCTCTGCTTCTCTGTGAATCAGAAAGCCAATAAACAATGCGTGATTTTTTTTTTCAAGTATTTTTCCTGAAAATAACTTTGCTTAAATCCTGAGGATTAAAGAACCTTTCTTCTATAGAAAGACTTCATCTAAAAGCATTGGACCTGGAAAGCTCTTAAGTTGTCTTTTGCAAAGACAGCAGCTGTTTCTGGAGCTCTCCTGTGCAGATTCTCATACTGTTATTGAACAGGTAACTGATAAAAATGCTCCCATCTCTGTTCCTACTGATTTCCAGAGGATACTCTGTCACGCTTCAAAGATTTCAGCTCATCTTAAGATTTATCTACTCTGCCTTAAAGTCACACAAGCCAGCATACAGCAAACTGCTCCTTCCCTACATGTTCCCGGTTAGAGATCAACACTGATCACATTTTAAATTTAGCTACTAAATTTTTAAAGCCCTGAGACTTTGAGAAGGGCTGGTCTTTCCAAGCTTTCCGTGTGGATCCACAGAAATATTCCTCTGTGTGCATCTTACCACGTGTTAATTTGCTGTGTGGACGTTCATTTCCTACTGCAAATTAAAAAAACTGCGGTGTGCAAATGATCTGTCAATTTTGGGCTTGTTATTATAAGCCTTGCTGTCATCCCCGATTTTATAAATGTGTTTCAGTGCATTAAATGACTAAGCATCAACATTGTTCTGGGGGCTTTCCTATCATTTGTGCCTTTACTTGTGTTCCACTTGTGGAGTCGGTGAAAGTTATTCTTCTAATTGTTAAGTGGGGTTTTCAGCCATTCCTACGGATTTCAGTGTGAATCTTGGGATACCAAAGACTTGAATTTACAGACTGTAAATCTGGGGAACTCAAATGGAGCCTTGCCATTCGATTTTCACTTCAGCTCAGGTTGAGAATGACGTTCATGTGGCTCCAGTGAGAGTAACATCCTTTTTTTAACCCCTGGCATTCTCACTGCACAAAGCCAGTAGTTTTCTTTTATGAAAGCTGATCTGTCTTGGGAAACAAAAAATAAACCAAAAAATTCCATTGGCTGGCTTCAAAATGATAATAAATCTCCTCCTGTAAAATGTATGTGAGTTAGCAATGACCTAAACCCCTTCCTACAGGTGTCAGTAGCAAAATTCCCCAAGGAGCAGAGCTTGGCTGCCACGATAGGATTGTGATGATTTCAAATTTAGCCTGTACTCTACATGCTCATGAAGGATGTCAGATAATAAAATACTTACAGCCAAGGAGCAACAGGAAGGTAAGATGCACGTTTAGAAAGCCAATAGCTATCAATGTTAATAGATGAGTTATGTCAGGAAAGCTATATGTAATTAGTTACAAATAAACATTGTATTTCAGAGGCAATAGTTTTCTTCTGAGGGAATATATATCTATATATCTATATATAGATATAGATATCTCAGAACACTGGCTTTATGTTTGGGTTTGAGAGAATAAAGGTGTATTATACCAGGGGCTGAATACATCTATTTGCACACCTGGTGTTATTACAGTGTCCCATTCAGCTGCAACACAGGTGACTATAACACAGGTAAATATTTATATCACCTTGAGGAAAAAGGTTGGAGAAGTGGGATCTCAGGATGTCTCTATTAGAAGTCCCCTATAAAGAGTGGCAAAGGTATGAAAACTTAAAAATCAACCGAGGAGACTGGAGCAGCTTTGGAGGAGTTTTGTGATGGTTGATCACTTCACTGAAGTGCTCTTTATAATTGACTTCACTCATGCAGCACAGAAAGAGATTTTTGAAATTATTTTAACCTAGAAAACAACAAAGAAGCTGCTACAACCCCTGTGTCCAATTCCAGTCCAGAGGAGGAGGAGGACAGATACATAACCAGGGGATGCAGCACCATACAAAGGGATTATCACTGGAAGGACTGAAGGAAAACAATGTTTTCAGATGAGAAGTGGTCTGGTTGATAACATTCTAACACTGTTAGCCAAAGGGCTGTGCCATTTACAGCTAAATAATAAGCTATCATTAGCAAGAATCAACTTGAACACTGCAAACAAGCAATGGGCAACAAAATGCTTGAACTAACTGGGAAGGATCCAATGCTGAATATTAAAGTCCTTACAGAGACAGAGCAGTAACAATTTTCACTGGAACACAAGGATACTTTAATGCACATGATGCCTGGTAAAGCTGTAAGTATGGTGGTCAGGGATGGGATGTAGTAAAAGGGAAAAAGAGTAGGGACAGAAAAAAAATCCCTTTGGATTAAAATCTGCTTCAAGAATGGAGGGTAAAAGACATTGAAATGAAAGTTAAAATCCTACAGGATCAAATCTATCTGAACTAAGAACCTTTTAAATTATTTTTTTTAATATTAATTCATAATTACAGAAAACCTTGATGTCATAAATAGCTCCTGAAGAACAAATGCAACAAGTAATCAGAACACTTGACTCATTCTCAAATTAAAAGCTGACACATTTCTGCACAAATCCATTCTGTGATTTATTTATTATTCAATTAGCAATCCATCTGATCCTGTTTTGCAGGAAGTCCATATTAATTTGCAACTGTTTTCTCCCTGGGACACAGATCAACAAAAGAGAAAGTATCAAAGTTACCTGCTGACAAGAGTAAGGAGAGCAGAACCATCAGCACATTCAGGGACTGTTGACCACAACTTGTCATCGTTGGCTTTCATTGGTCCATTAGAGAATTACCTGTTTGACAGGATGCAAAAATTATGGTTAAGTGTCTGTTTCATCTCCCTTTCATGGTTAAACTTTTACTTCCCCACAAAGCTTTGGTAAAATGAAATGGCTTTGCACAGTAAGAAAAACAAACAAACCAACCATATAATTTTTCTGGACTTAGAAGTGAAATAAATTCTCCTTTCCGTGATTTCATTACAATTCTTTCCTCCTTTCACCACGAATACAAACAGCTGTTTACATACTTTCCATTAAGCCAGCGTGGAGATGAATCACACAAAGCCTCTATTGGATGTTCACACCTCCCCTGTAATCTACACTCAGCCAAAGTGTGCTTGTTTGCCTGTCACAAGAATGGGCTGTTGTCTGAAGCCTCTAAGGGCTAGAAGCACATAAACAATACAAAAATAAATTGGCTGCTTTGAAAGCCAATCTGTTTTACCCCATTAGAGGGTGCAGTCGCTCAGAAAGTGGGTCAAGCAACTGAGAGGGTTGGAAACACTTCAAAAAGAAAATTTAAAAAAAAAAAAGTCTTTTCATTAGAATCACAGCATTTCATTCGATTGTTATTTCTTGTTTTCCTAGAGAGCAGGGTGAGAAGTGGCGTGATCTGGCTGGGAAAAATCCTAATAATCCTAAAAAGGATCCTCACAACTGGGTGAGGCCAAACACATCTTGTTCCACGTGAATTCAGCATCACCTGCTGCACATTCAACAGCTCCTACAGAGACTCTGCCCCAAAGTAAGTGCTGTCACCAACACGAGAAGATGTTGTCACTGCTCATACAGACTAACTCTTCATCCTGACTTCACACTGACATTAATAAATAGGTAACTTATAAATAAATAGGTGATTCATAATAGAAATAAAATTAATAATATAACATAAAGCAAAGAGGTAATTTATTGTTTTGTACAAGAACTCTGGGAGCTCAGGCTACAGACCTAAAATAGAATATTTTATTTATATTATTAATCACATATTTATTTTTATTATATTATAACCACCCATTTATTTTATTTATAAATAGGTGATTATTAATAAAAATAAAATATAAAATAAAGAGGGACTTTATTGGTTTGGACACTGGGAGCTTGGGCTACATACCAGATGGCCTAGGTGGTGTTACTGCAAGGTAGTGTGGTGAGTGTTTCTTGGGTTGATAACATTGTTCTAAGGTAGTTTTTTTTTGTTGTTTTTTTTTTTTTGTTTTGTTTTGGTTTTTTTTAAGAAAAGAAGAAGAAGGAAAATGGCAATTTATGCAAAACATTCCACTGTTTCTGACACCTCAAGAGACACATTTTGCCAACTGTTTATGAGGAAAAAGTGCTGGATTATATAAATATGTAGTTTACTAATAGTTTACGACTGAATCAGATTAAAACACCAAGACAATTGCACCTGATGTAACAGAAGGGGAGGGGGAGAAAATTAACACATGAGGAGTAACTAAATCCTGAGTAACACGGATAACAGAGGGGAGAGACACAGAGCTGTGCAAAGTGTTGAGAGGCCAAAGATTTCTCCCACAAAATGCTGTGTGTGGCACAAGCTGATCCACTAAAAAGTCATCTTAGCAGACGAAAAACAACAGATCACAGACCTGAAAAAAACTTTTGTACAATAAAACACGACAGTTTGCACTGTTACCTGCAGGCCAAATCACTGTATTGTAACTTTAAAATAAGTTTTCAAGGGAAAAACAGTTACAAACCACAACACTGTGAGGAGAAAACAGAAGTGCAATAAACTACAAATGGTAATTAAAAATATTCCTCATCAATACTGTTTGAAAAAGCTGCCACCCTTTCTTCAGAAGGAATATCGTATTAATTAAAACCCTGAGCAGACTTAAAGTTGGAATTGCATTAAAAAAAAAGAATAATACTGAATATAAGCCAGAGGTGGAGAATGCAGGAGTTTGGCCAAGAAAAACAGCCACAGAGAACACGCTATTGCCAATATTGATAGGACTAAAAGGGTATGATATTTTCCTGAGTAAACCAAAGCTGCAGGAATTCTGGTAGTGATTCATTACTAAAGAAAATCTTGGCTTTTGTAGCAGTTCATTAAAAAGAGATCAATAAGCACTCCTGTTGTGTATCTGGGAAGACAAAGATGTTTGGTACAGCTGAGACTAATAAATATTTCCATATCAAGAATAATTTAGGGTGACATTAATGAGTTGATACTATGGTTCCTAATTTGATATTTGCAAATCCGTGTAATTTGTATCCAGTTATTTCAGCAGAGCTGGATGGGGAATATATAAATCATTTTTTCAGTTAGCTGGGAAACAATGGCAGCTTTCAAAGGACTTGAAGAAAACTAAGAACCTTTTTAGAAGCAAATGAGATAATTCAGGTTAATTATAAGCGTGATGTGGATCTAGGGAAATTTAATGGAATTGTTAATACAGAATCCAATCAATAAATAATTAAGAAGAGCAATATAGTTAATATGTATCACTCTGGGCTTATGGTAAAGTTAACTTTGTTTCTCTCAGGGTTGTTGATTAAAGCAGATCAAAGATAGTTATAGTACGGTAGATGTCTGTAAAATATCTCAGTAGCATGGAATTTGAGCAGGCAGTGAGAATGAGGAAGAAAGGCACATCAGTTATGGAAGACTAACTCAGACTGGAAATCAGATGCACATTTTTTGGAAGGCACAATCTTGTTAGTAATTGAGTACATCCAGCCTTACTGGGAGTTTCTTAATCAGCACCGGAGGTAGAAATCTAGGAGGGAAACATTTATTTCCATTATGTCCAGCAGAACTGGCAACAATGAAATTGGCATTTTAATCCAAATCATGGGATGCTTGTGTTTTATGTCAGCTGGAAAATCAGAGGGAGGGACTAGAACACAAGAGACCTGCACACCAGTGGCCAGGAGAATCTGTGTAAATAAATGCATATACACATCTATCCACATTTGTGACAGCAGGGAAACGCTCCCATTTTAGAACTGCTGTTTCTGTGATCATTACACTGAATATGAGCATTTTTAGGATGTAACTAACTGTTCACTTGTTGACTATTCTGAGGGTTTTTCCACATGCTGCTGCCTGGCTAAAGCAGTCATATTTTGTGCAGTACCACGAGGATGTCTCTGAGCTATTAGAGCTGGAAGAGATGGGCAGGAGATCTGGTGACATGGTAAAAGGAAAAGCCTAGACCATACAAAGTATTTCCTGATGTTAGGCCACAGAATAGAGAGGGTAGAAACATGGTAATCTAGTAGGATATTTATTTATTATTATTTTTAAGCAGCTACATGGTACTTAGCTTCCAAATGGGGTTAAACCCTGACACGTGTCCACTGTGAAATAGAAGAAAAGGTCCTCACTCAGGTTTTTTAATATTTTTTTGGCTATCTTGTCATGGAATAAAGATTATGTTCAGAATATTGCTTTCCCTTGCAGAGGATGCAGCAACGAAAGATTCAAGGAGAGCAACACTCAAAGGAAAGGTGCTGTAAAATCACGGGAGACAGAGCAGGTGGGTGGCTTTTTGTTTCTGCTGATGAAGAGCCCGTGACTGAACTGCAACTTCTGATCTCACCCCCGGCACAGAAACTGAACTGGTTTGCCTTCAACCTCCCTCCTCATCATGGCCTTTAGGTGCAGAGACCATGCAGATCATCCTGCAGATTTTACTTCTCACTTCCACACCGTGACATTTTAGCTCTTCCTCTGCTCCTACATCCACTGCTTTGGTTATCCCTGCAGTTCTATCTAGCTGTCTCTTCTTGAAGGGAATCAGTGAATCACTGGAAAGAAAAGCTGCCAACAGAAACAACCATTTCATGAGGTAAGATTTTGATGTAGGAATTATTTTCCCCTGACTCTGAAGGAGAAGAAAGGCCATGTTTGGAAGAGATGTTTGAGAAACAATACCCATTCTGCTGTTTTGTTTTGATTGTTAGAAAGAACAAAGGGAGCTAGCAAGAGAATTTACTAAATACATCAGCACTGCCTCACAAGTTTGTTCTTGTAGAGACAGAAAATGGAGCGATTCAAGAGATCATTTAACCCATCTTCCTGCCATAGATCAGGTACACCTAAACCATTCTTAGCACAAGTTCACATAATGTCCACCACCAAAGTGGTTTTCTAACCTTCTCAGACAATTCCCTAGAGTGTTTCTCCAACCTAGAAAGGTTTTCCCACGTCTAAACTGCAGCTCCTTTGCTTGATTCAGGCCCAAGGAGCTGGAGAATGATTTACCTCGAGGTACATTGTTACACCTCTGCATCCGTCTTTAATTAACACATACAAGTGCTATCATATCTTCACTCAGTCTTTTCTTAGACTAAAAACTTAAACTTCATGCAGTTTTCCCTTAAAAACCACTCTTGTTACACCTCCTATACCTCCTCTTGTATCTGCCTCTACACTTTATGGCAAGGCTGTGCCTGGAACTTCAGTGTCATTTTGGTTCCTGCTGTTTATATTTTCTTAGTGCCCTCCAAGTCCTGATAAACATCCCAACAGCTGCCAGTTCTTTCAAGGGGAAATAAAAGCATAGCAATTGCAAGGTGCAGAAAACCACAGAGCTCCTGCTAATCCTCCCAGCTGACCCAAAAGATAAATAGGTTCTCCTTGTTACAGCAGGAGAGGAACATCTACACACACACAAAACTATATAGGTAAAAACAGACCACCACGTGGGACATAACTGCTGTCCAGCAATTCTTCCCATTTCTTCCTCCAGTCTTTTGGGGCCATAGTCATCTTTAACAGATTAAATGCTATTTAGGAAAGCTCTGGTTGCCACAGTCCCTTTATTACCCACTCTCCTTCTGGACAACACCCTCACTGACCACAGACACGTTTTCAGTTTTGCTGCACTTCCTACACCTGTGGGTGTCAAACCAGCAGGGAAGTGCCGTCCTCTCAGCCTGTTTGCTCATCTGGAGGCAACAGAAAATACTGGTTGGTTGTGGCAGCAGTGGGGGAATGAATGACACAATCACAGTGCTTGAGAAAGCTGTTCAAAAAATCA